TAGCGTGTTTTTTAGGGTTCATCAAAATGCCTCTTCCGATAACTCTCTGGTGGAGGGGCGGGGCCTATCGGGAGCGTCCTCAGTCATCCATCACTACATCGCCTTCATTCTCCGCAATTCACATAACATCATCCCCTGGTTTGCATCTCCGTGCGGTCGGCGGCGCCCGTGCAGGGCCGGCCCGCTGCTAACTCTCGCCTCGGGAATGGGCCAGGAATTTCCAAGGATAATGAACGGGAGTGGCCCCGGGGGTTTTTCCGGCTGGGCGGGGCGGGCGGGCGGGGCGGGGGGGGTTCGATGAATAGCCGGCACGCGGCCTAATGCTTCGCGTCTCGACGAGCGCGCGGCGGCTGGCGGCCGCGGCCGAACGGACCAGAAGAGACGGGTTTTGTGTACACTCTTTTCAGTTTTCTGGAACAAAAATGAAGATAAAGAACCATTCCAGTGATGAGATTAGCTTATTGAGGGTTGTTTTCTACGAGAGCATTTTCTGCGTTGTTTGGATTAACGCCCAGGATGTCGTAGGTTACATAAGTGTTCCTGCGTTCGATCCTATGTTCACTTTCATGTAGAATTCATGGTAGTGGACTAATTGACTCGCATTCTGCCTCCTGCTCCGAGACATATGTATCGTGTGAATAGCAAGGTGATGTTTTTTATTTAATAGACCGTCCGATACATCTTAGGAATGTTCATTTTTCTAGTTGATATGTAATAAATTAAATTTATATTTGTTTAATCATAAAGATCAAGCAGTAATTTTAACACGTGGTAATTCATCTAAAGTATATATTATTCCTTACGTTTATTCTACGATATACCTACATAACACTGTATGTTACCTTGATGATTATATTATCTGTTCTAAAGTTCTTCCTCATCATATTTAGAGAATTGAAATAATATTTTGGAATTTGCTGTCTAATTTGATACGCCAAATAAAAATTTGTAATTCTGGCAAAATTAAATCAGATTCCTGTTAACTTGACGATTTTGAATAAAGAAGTGAGTCAACAGTATAAGGTGCATTGAATAAGAAAGATTTGCTTTGAATGGGGCCCGTGGTGTGGAGGTGGTAGCAACGGGTGCAACGGAGGGTGATGCAGGAGGGTGATGAGAGGGGGAGAGGGAGGGGTGGGGGAGGGCGTACAGCGCGTTTTGTGTGTGTGGCGGGCGGCGGCGCGGCGGGGGCGGCGCGGCGAAGCCGGCAGAAGAATCGGCGCGAGGTTAATCGAGCAAACTTTAAATAATAAGACAGAGCTCAGATTTACAAGCTCGCTTCGTGGCAAATTATCTTTCTCTATTTATTTTCTTCCGCTGGCAATTAAGTTCGCATTAGGTACGTGGACGCCGGACGGCGGCGGTGGGGGTGGCGTGAGCCGGTGTGCGGGGGTGGGGGAGGGGACGTGGCGTGCAAAGGGGTGTGGTGGCGGGGGAAGGGTGGGGGGGGCAACCGCTACCGCGGGCAGGTGCCGGGGGCGGGGGCGGCGGGGCGGGCGGGCGGTGGCGCGGCGGTGATGGGACAGCTGTGCGGCACTGGCGAGATGGTGAGCTCGCTTCCGCCGGCAGCACGGCGCCGCCGCGCTGCTGCTGCTGTAGGCAACGGCGGGGGTGAACCTCCGCACGCACCCTTGGGGAGCCCCTTCCGTGCGAACGGTTGCAACCGGCGGCGCCGGAACATAAGTAATCGCGAATACGCGACTGCTCTGATGGGAGTTTTTCCGTGGGTTTCAATCAGTATAAGGCGAATGTTTTTGAGCCCACTATCCTAAAGAAGGTCCGCTGGTAATGCTTTGCTCGATATCGTTTCGATTCTGATGACCAATTCTTGAAGCTACTCTATTTTCTAATTGTGAAATATGAATGATAGTCATAGCTTCAATCTTTTAGTTGTTTCTACAACTCTTATATGTAAATATTCATATGTCTTCAACTATTCTTTCGAAAGTTAATGAGCAATTCGAGTCTTGTAGGCAATCAAATTGTAAATCACTGTTTCAAGGTTTAGAATTTGTTGGCGGTAATGTTTGTTTTTTACTAAGATCTAATGGTTCAAGTCATTTGACGACAACTAGCAATTGCGACAATGAGCATTTGACGCACCCACTGCTACGGCATTTTAGCCTCACCTCTTTTATGTCTTGAATGTTTCTGTGTGCCTTAACAAACAGGTTAAAGTAAAACAATTTCATATTACCTCTAATGTACAGTGATACACCCCCGCACTCACACCCGCACTCACCCCCCGCACACACTCACACACACACTCACACACACACTCACAACCCGCTCTCACAACCCGCCACTAATCTCCCTCCGCTCACCCAACTGCTCAATCCCACTGCTAAAGCAACTAAGAGACGCCAATTGTGCAATCCACGAGTGAAGGTTAAAAATGGGGAAACAAATATTTCACAAAACCGAAGTTCCTTATCGTTGCTTTAGTATAAATTGAATAACTGTACTTCCAATAATGGAGAATTGTTTCTCAACTTTAATAGATCTCGTCCCAGACAAGGTCGACTATTAGTTTTAAACAGGTTCCACCGTTTAATAGGAACAGCAACAACCATATGTCTGGAAGCATGACCGATTCAAAAATTTGGAAATGTGTTTTTATTTACGTCAGATTACTCTTACTTTCATTAAACAAAAGTAGCAAATCCAATACGGTGTCCAGGTTCCCTCCACAACTGCGGTAAGGCAAATAATATAATTGGGCGGTTCCATGCAACCAGCCTCTTATATAGCAGGAGCAACGTGAGCAACAGTTTTGTGGTGCCCAACTCCTTTCATCTACCTTTGATTTAAAACAAACTCGTACGCCCATTTTGACGATCGGAGAACTGGAAAGTATTTGAGACTTAATCGTAAATTCGCCACACACATCACCCAAAAAAATGATGAATTAACACACTTCCTAGATACCGCTGAGTATAAGAAACAGGCGAGCTAACATAAACAATATCATTCACGTAAGTGGAGTTACACACTTCAAGAATAGATACTGTGTGATCTCACTGTCGATTGACTGATGCAACTGCAACTTTCCTTTACCTACCCCAAATGTCTTTATCCCCCTGTCTATTCTCACCACTATGCAATGATATTCCTATAATGTAAAAACTATTTTTAAAAATTTATTTTTAAAAATTTATTTTAAAAATTATTTTAATTTTTAAAATTAATTTTTAAATTAATTTTTAATATTTAATTTTAAATATTAAAAAATTTTTAATAATTATTAAATTTTTAAATATTATTATTTTTAAATTATTTTTTATTTTAATTATTTTATTTATTAATTTTTAAATATTTTTAATATTTTTAAATTATATAAATATTATTTTTAAAATTTATTTTAAAATTATTTTAAAATTATTTTAAAATTAATTTTTAAAAATTTAATTTTTAAATAATTTTTAAAATAATTTTAAAATTAATTTTAAAATATTTTTTAAAATTTAATTTTTTAAAATTTATTTTAAATTAATTTTAAATTATTTTAAAATTTATTTAAACAAATTTTTGAAAATTATTGTAATTATTTTATTATGTTAAACTTTACTCATCTTTCAACTATTTATAGTTAAAATGACGGGAAGGAATTCTGGAACTCAAGAAAACGTGCGCAGATAAATCTTTCCCCCCTACATCAATACAGTTTTTACTGTTTTTTTTGACTGAATAAATCTAAATCTAAATATAAAATAAAATAATGTGATAAGCCCCGCCACATCACAAATAACGCAGCCGAGCGGAGGTAAAATTGCGTTTCCAGAAAGAAGTTTAGCCAACAATGGTTTTCACCACTGTAATCGGAGCCTCACCTACATAACAATTGCATATTTTTGTTCTGCGGCAAATTTCATTATCGAACTGTGTAATGTTTATTAATATTGTTACAGGAGTATTATAGTTATAGGAGTAAAATATTTTGAGCATTTCTAGTTTTTGAAAGTTTAGAAGTGCTAATCGGACCTGCGCCATCTTTTCCAGCATACTTCTTTTTTTCTAGAGAAACTCCTACAAAATAATTTGAGATTTTTAGCCATTTTCGTGAAAATTTTGAAAATTTGTTGAGGTCTAATGCTAGGTACTCCAAAAATAAATGATTAGTTTAAGGAACCACAAAACCTATATTCTACTTTAGATATTAAGGAAAGGGACGAGAAAAATCTTTCCCGGTAGCAGGAAGCCACAAAATTAGTTTTTTTCTGTCATAAAAACAGAGCACTATTACTTTACTTTCTCTGTATACTCATTCTGTATTACTCACTATATACACGAAAAAATAAAAATTATAGTTTTTACAGTTACTAAACTGGCAGTAGTTTAGGACATAACATAATTTCTAAACAAAAACACAGACGAAAAAGGTCCGTACGAATTAGTAATACGAATTGTTGTTGCTTTTTTGTAATTTTGTAAGAGCCAATAACTAAATTGTTGAGACGTAAATAGAAAAAATTAAATACCAACTCTGCCTTTAATTTAAGATATTTTGAGCATCCTATGTCTTTCGATATTCCGTATATCTTGCTAAAAAGTGTCGGATTGGGCACATAGATATCTTTAAAATTACAAACTAGAACATGATTTTAAAGCTTCTTGATGAAAAGAAAACTTTAATATCTCACAACTGTTCCATGTTACGTTACATGACGCAGACCAATGTGGTGGATACAAGGAAAACGGTGGATGTGGCCTGGCGAATTGCAAACATTGAATATTTGCAAACAATGCAGCAAATATTCACTTAGGATCGCATGATACTTTCGATTCTGAAAGTAAGAGAATTTTAAAAACAGTCAAAAGGGTTCTTAATTATTATATTGTTGACTAAAAGTGCTACGTACGAACTGTTATCATAATATCTTTTACGTGTGTGTCAAGAGGCAATTTTAATTAAGTGACAAAAGCGAAAAGACAAGGCGAAAATTTGGCGCGCGTTTGAGAGTACCCTCTTAGTCTTCATATTTACGCCAAATGCGGAGGCAATGGGGTACAGGCAGTTGGCGGCGGTGACAAAGATGCTGCAGGACGGCCCGTCTCTTGGGCGGTGGGGTGGGAGCGAGGTTCCCGGAAACGCGCCCCGATTCAGCTTAATTGCGCGCGGCGTGGAAGGAAGTGTTGCTAAGCAATGTATGCGTTTGATTTCGGAAATTATCGGTCTATTTGCGCTTCTGTGAATCTTCTCTTTACACACACTCCGGCAGAATTGTAATTCTAGCTTGACACAGAGCGAGGTTTCCGCAAAGCTGTTTTCGCTGATGGCACCGCAAGCCCTAATATATTCTAACGACGAAATGGAGTGGGATTTGTAGCAGTGAGCGATGATATTCGCTGTATATTTTTAACGATGTTGTTTTTAAATAAACACAAATTTTTGTAATACAAGTTCCTTAAAGTGCCGAATAAATAAGTGTGGTAAATTCTTGTGAGAGTTTTGATGTGCGAAATTTTCTGCGACATTCATCGTTAAAATACTTATAATATTTGATATTTAACAACAGTAACCTTCTTATACGGATCTTTGTAAGCCCTTTTTAAGAGTTTTGGATACGAAAATACTGGCATACGTATATGTAAGTACTTTCGTAAAATGTTTCAATTAGTATTAATATATTTTAACTGCTTGCTTCTAACGTCATTAAAGTTGAACTACCATCTTCTCGTAGTTTTAGAATCTCTTTAGCGTCTACTTTTGTAAATTTCAAAGTATATTTCTATAATATTTGTTTAAACAGTTTTATTATAAAAGAAACAACAGCAACTTTCTAATGAGATTTGGTCACTTGGGCAACCTCCATTTTTTTTAAAACTTAAGAAATGTTATATCACTCTGAAATAATGAAACATGAATGTGTATTGAAATGGGTATTAACGTATAGATTTAATCAATAACATTTTTTATTTATTTTATCTAGTAACTTTTATTTATCAAATTATTATTGAATACATCAAAGTCTAATAGTTTAAATGTAATCTTTTGGAATGAAGAATAATTACGCAAATTACATGGTGTGGTTTCTCTAAATGTTATATTATTGAATATATTCTTGGTCGACAAGCGTCAGATAGTATTTTCGAATGTTAAGATAAATTTTTCTTCCCAGAAAATGTTGATCAAATGTATTATGAAGAGTTCGGTACTACATAATATATTAGCACACTTTGATTCAATTACAAGGTTATATTTAGTAGAGTCGGGCAGTGACATATTAGTAAACGTCACGCTCTCGTATAGTTATGCAAAGGGAAACAACGATTTTATAACGTAATAATATCATAGATGCAAAATATTACTTCCAAAATGCTACGAGGCGTGCTCATCGGTATATCTCACTACGTTAATGTGTTGTTCCTAATCCGTTAACAGAACTTGCGGAAATTTGCATTTTTGTTTGATTGGATTCAGTCGCGCAATAAACTTTTCTTTAGCAACTCCAACCTGCTCCGTTCAGACAGCTTCTCAGCCGACATCAAATGTAGCTGCGTTGTGATTCTACCTGCAACACAATCATCCCGTGCTAAGGTCTGGAAAATCTGAAATCTTACATCTGCGCGAACTCCATCTTGTCTTCCTTAAAGGAAACCTTTCGGGAATAGCAAAACTTGAAATTCGTATTTCGAACTTGATATCTTCTCCGCTGCTCCGTCGATGAGTCGGAGACGCAGTATCTTCCGAATGTCTGCTACTGAGCGGTTGTAGACTTTCCGAGAGGCAAAGTAAACCACTACTTGTGAACTCTTTGGCGCCGTGCCGGAGGTTGGTGAGGCCCGAACGTAAGGAACTCGATAAGACGAGTGGAGGCGCGGATTCTTGAGAACAAAGGAACTAATAAATCACATTCTAAAATGCGCCAACTTTCTCTCAGGAGCTACCTGGTGGGTCTTCTGCATTCCTGGAAGCGCCGCGAATAGAGCATTGGTTCGCCTCCGTAAAGAAGTGGAGCACCTCGATACGGGGGACAGATTCCAGAAGAATTCCGGTTCAGAGGAAACTTTGAAATGTTACGTGAACAGAATATGTAAGTTCGCCCTTAGGTATAATATTCTCAAGAACAAGGTTATATGACTACGTCTCAGAAATAATGATTTACAAACATTATGGATGAGAAAATACATCGATTTTACAAAATTCAATAATTGAAAAATATGTAATTTTTCACAAAAGTTTTTTTTTTCTAATCAAAAGTGCCTTTATTCATTTTCTGAATTCATTGATTTAATTGCGATAGTTACAAACCAATTTCTTGTTTACGAACACTTAATGATAGTGCTCAATTATGTGTCCAACACATTTTATACAAAATTATATGTACATTGAGAGTTTATTTTTGTAGATTATACATTCATCTTCCAATCTACGAAATAACTGATAATGGATTTTAATGAATACTGCAACAGTATTCGCGCCCTTATTCTCCTTCCACGATTTTCAAAGCGAACGAAAAACATAAAACGAAACCACAAAAGAGAATTGTATTCATCTGAACGAGGGCCAAAGCTAATGAGACAGCTGAATCCAAGTAACCTACGAGTGGTGTGATACCGAATATATTCACTCCCATACAACGCTCAGCATCTGGTGAGACAGAAAGAAAGAAACAAAGGACGAGCTCATGGAACTCTCAATGCCGCACTATATTCATTTGCTCACCGTTCCACCCCAGTTTCCGCTTTTAAAATTCTTTTTGTGCCGCCGTCGGATCGGCTGCCGAGTGCAGATCGAAGAACAGACGAGGGGAGGGCGCGGCGCGCCGCCGCAGGCACCAACGAGGTTATCGAGGAGGGATAAGTACGGAGGGCCTCCCTTCAATGGAGAACAGCGAGGAGACTGGATACCCGAGCAGATTTATTTATTTCGGGGGGCTTTTGTTTGTCACACAAGAGCAGTCAAGGGTGCAGATGGAACCGTACCAACTTGAGCACCACTCGAAATCTGCCGGAATCTGGGGGAGATTGGAAAGCAGGGAACCGGCAACGTAGTTTGGGAAGATGCGATCCGGGATTGCCACACTTTCTATTGCGTTTGGTTCGGGGAAATCCTTTGCACGATCGTATATAAAAGCAGGTGGAATTCATAATCTTAGAATTCGTTATCATTCTTCACGAACAAACTTAGTTTGATAATTCGATTGAATTATTTTTTTCTTTTTATACCTTACATTATGTATATTTCCTTTCATGGAGGTCTTAATCTGGTGAATTTGAGTTGCTATTCTTCCACTGTAAATAAATATAGAGCATTCCTTTTGGGATAAAATAATTTCGATTACAGTTTTAAGTGTTTTCTAAATTATTTAGTTCCTGCAAAGACTGTTTTTATCAATCTAAACGTAACTAAACATATACTACCTAGAATAAATACTCAAACATTCTGTATTATGTACTGTGAATAAAAGTCCGGAACCAATTTTTTAGTTTTCTGCCATGCCCAAACTGACCAAATCCACCCAGTAGCCAAGAAATTGAAAATTAATCTATAGATTCCGATGTATTGAATCCTATTATTTGGGAGGAAAATCATTTAATTGTTTAAAATATATGACCATATGGTTTAAATTTCATTGGCTAAATGAGTATCCTGATCTCATTTTTATATTATACAACAGTAGAATTAATAAGACATGACAGTCAAGGGTACGTGATTGGTAAGAGGCTATGGATAAGTAGCCGTTGCACTGATGTAATGCATAGCATCTGCATTCTTAATAACTGAATTCGGTGGATAAATCAGCTTGCTTCGTAAGACGGATTATTCAAGAGACTATTTTGAAGGACTAAATGTCATACATATTATTAATCTTCGTCATTTACATCCCTCCGTACTGTTCCTAATTTTTTTCAGAGGAATAAACATTTTAAATAAACAATTACAGATTTATGTCTTACATTTATCTGTAACTTTATACATGTATCAATGTTGTACACCCTTGCCTCATTATTACAGAAAGTATCAACATTTCATCTAACAAAAAAAGATAATCTCTCTGAATAAAAGTTAGAGTTAATATACTGACGTACGGCTTACAAAGGGACACAACGAAAACATCGCACCTGGAACTTCTGCAGCGGTTCATTAGCTAACCATTACGCATGTTAGCATCATGGGCGGTCAAATTAAACTCCTCAATTTGGCCTAATAACCAACAGTTTTATGAGGTATTAATAAAAATGGATGTAATCTTCACTCATCTAACAATGACTCTTCTGGGTAGCAGTTCAACAGTGTCGCTTCATCAACTGGATTGTCCCTTTTTTGTCAAATAGTACAATAGTCAACAATGAAAATACTGATATATAGTGAAGTACAAACTATAAATTATCATATATAAAATTAAATATTTGAAAGATGTTTCAGAATAAATGCTACAAGTTTCTATGTTTTGTAGGCGAGAGAATTCAAAGTCGAGCAATTTTCGCCAGTGCGGCTGGGAATCTCATACTACACTGTTACACATGCATAAGCAGGCTCACATTCTAACGCAGTTAAAGGTTTTCTTGCACAAGCAAAAAACGAATACAAGATGAGTTGCCAATGTCGACGTGTCCCTTTGCAAATGTTCCACGTGTAACTTCGTTTCTTTATAAGTGATAATCTCCTAACTCCTTACATTCTCTAGACATTTTTAACATTTATTCGAAGACATTCTGTACATTCAATCTTTTTAAAGAACAGAATATACACTGAGGTGACAAAAGTCATGGGCTAGTGATATGTAAATATACATATGACAGTAGTATTGCAAACAAAATATATAAAAGAGCAGTGCATTGGCAGAACTTTCATTTGTACTCAAGTGATTCATGTGAATATGTTTCTAATGTGATTATGGCCGCTGGACGGGAATTAACCGACTTTGAAAGCGAAAAGGTGTTTGAAGGTAGACGCTTGGAACATTGCATTTCGGAAATCGTTAGGGAATTTAATATTCCGAGATGCACCGTTTCGAGTATACTTAATTTTAAGCATAACTTCTCTCTTCGGACAACGAAATAACCAACGGCCTTCACTTGATGACCGAGAGCAGCGGCGTTTGCGTAGAGTTGTCACTGCTAGCAGACGTCACGCAGTGAAGCGCTGCGTGAAATAACCGCAGAAATCAATGTGGGGCGTACGATGAACGTATCCGTTAGGACAGTGCGGCGAAATGTGGCCTAAATGGGCTACGGCTGCAGAAGACCGACTGAAGTACCTTCGTTACCAGCATGGCGTCGCCTTCCCTTGGCGCCTCTCCTGGGCTCGTGACCATATCGATTGGACACTAGACGAGCCTGGCTTCGTCAGACGAGTTCAAGTTTCAGTTGGTAAGAGCTGATGGTAGGATTCGAGTGTTATGTGGTGCAGACCCCACGAATCCATGGACGCAAGTTGTCAACAAAGCACACTGCAAGCTGATTGTGGCTCCTTAATGGCGTGAAATGGACTGGGTCCTCTGGTCCAACTGAACCGATCATTGACTGGAAATGATTTCCTACAGGAGATAATTTTCAGCCATTCGTGAACTTCATGTTCCGAAGCAACGATAGAATGTTTATGGATGACAATGCGCCATGTCACCGGGCCACACTTGTTTGCGATTGGTTTTAAGAACATTCTGGAAAATTAGAGTGAATGATTTGGCCATCCAGATCGATCTATATGAATCCCATCGAACATTTATGGGACATAATCGAGAGGTTAGTTCGTGCACAAAATTACTACACCGGCAACACTTTCGCAGTTATGGACGTCAACAGAGGCTATTATCAATACTTTTGCAGAGACCTTCCAACGACTTCTTCAGTCAATGCCACGTCGAGTTGCTGCACTTCGCCGGGCAAAAAGAGGTCCGACTTGGTATTACGAGGTGTCCTACCTCAGTGTACGTATATGAGCGTTAAATTCTATCAGTTTTTCAAATTCAACTTTAACGTTAGCTAATAGCCAATTATGTATTGTTTCTGTCTGACCTACATTACCGCGGAGAAAATATCGCTCCTGACTTGCAGTATCTCTCGTATAAATGGCATACGGTCGCTTCCAGTGAATCGAAATATTTAACGCAGCACCGGAGGGGGGGGCGGAGTCCCGCTTCTGCGGAGGGAAGTGAAGACGGCGGGGGGAGCGCACGGCTGACTGCCCTCAAATGAGTCAGCGCCGCCAGGAGGGTGGGTGGGGGGGGGCGAAATTCGGTCAGGAAGCGCGGAATGGCCGGACGAGTGGGAAGGCGTGTAGGCGGAGGAAGCGGAGGCGGAAGCAATCGCCGCTGCGAGTGAGGCGGAACACGAGACGAGGGAGACGACGCAATAAGAAATAAGCGGTAGCGAGAAAGTAAGAGGAGTTGGCCGCGAAATAAAACTTTAGGTGTTCTTGACGCCAATGAATTAAGCGGAAATAAGGTTAGAGTGTCTTTGTTGTTTGGCAATTGTTGTGATGTGCATTAATGAGTTGGTGATTTATCTATATTTTATAACCCTGAATGGATTTATTGAGAAAAACGTTTGAGCATTATATGGAACAAAATTTGGCGTTTTTGTTTTCTAAATAGAATGAAATTGATATCAAATGGTTTAATTTGCTTTTATTAGCCGGTCATACAGAACAAATATTAAATATTAATTATCATCTTAATATTAATAAAATAAACACTAATATTTCGCCATTTGTACGTTACTTTGTTCAAGACCAACTGCAATAGTTGGTCTTGCTTCGTTTGAGATATGAATTGACATCATCAATCGACATCATTCGTCGTTTCATCGACAATCAGAAACGCAAGTGGTGGGTGGGAGGCTACAAACCCATTTCAAAAAAAGTCAATGATTTATGCAACGTGTGTAACTGAAGGTAGATGGCAGGATTTCATTCTCAAGGCCATTGCAATATTCTTTAACATATATGGTCAGGTGTTGATAAGTATAAAACATTTCAATTACATTTTCAATTTCATGTTTAACTCTGTGTTCACAGATCATCTGCGCAGCACAAATACTCGTGAACAAAATCACACTAATTTTTTTCCAAGAAGTAGCTCGCACACTGATCAACAATAAAAACT